GAAAAACAATAAATCTTTTGTTATAAGATCGTTTATTATTGGTATCAGATTTTACTCTTGTCATATATTAGAATTCTTTAGAATCTATATTTCTAAGTTTTCGCGTTTAATGATATATCATAGACGTCATCACCACTATCAGAGCCATATTTAGCGAAAGTAGATTTAAAGCACACTTGCTCTTCACAATAAACATATTTTACTATTACATGTGTGTCTTATTTATAACAAAGCTACATCAGGCTATCTGTTGTGTCCACCGAGGAGAATCGAACCTCTAATTTTAGTGTCATAAATCCTTTTGAATGCATTGTATTTAGTGAATGCACGTTTGCAAACTGACAAATCATGTGAAAAAAAAGTTTCATGTGCTTCACTTTTGTGAAATGTACAGTGATCTATGTAAGTTTTGAAGTTCCGAAAGTATTTCTTACAATATGTGTATGTAAACATCTTGAATTGTGTATGCCTGAATTTTCATTGGGACAAATCACATATACTAGTCAGCCTAGAAATTTTAATCTTAAAATTAACAGCATTGCATCACTTTTTAGTCCAGTGTTCTTCAATCCTAGTCTGGATAGCCACAATCTAATTTATTTTTATAAGTCCAGCGCAACAACAAACAAGTCATCCTCAGGCCAGAATTGTCTATAAAGTAATCGTTGTTTTTTAAAAATTGTGAGTTTTATAATTGAACATTACACACGTGCCAATTTTTTTAAAAATCTTCACTCCATGTTACAATATTTCTGTCCTGAAGAGAGGGGTGTCTTTAAAGACGAAGAGCACGAGTAGTCGCCGAATGGTTTGAGGAGCATGACACTGACATTATCCATATGTCATGGTCTTCCTAGTCACCAGATCTGAACCCAATCAAGCATGTATGAGATATTCTGGAACGATGTCTGAGACAGCGTTTTCCACGTCCATCAACTAGACGTGAGTTGATTGACTTACTTGTGAAAGAGTGGTGTTGCATTCTTCCTGCATAATTCCAGGAGCTGGTAGACTATCTGCCACGGCGCATACAGGCTATACTGGCCGCACATGGTGGCCCAACACCCTACTAAATGACTTTGCATTGGTGTTTCTATTTTGTTTGGCCACTACCTGTACCTGCCCTGACCTAAGGCTTGACTTGTGCCTCATAGGCTCCGCTAATAATAATGACATTAATAACAGTATTAATAATAATAATAATTAATTATTTCAGTCACCGAAAGCTAAAGAAACATCTGAAAATAGTAATGTATTCTGACGTGTTTTTTTAAATCTCATCTAAGGTTACCTAATGAATACCCTTGAAATCCTGTGGTTGTTTTTTCTATAGTCGTGGCGTATGAAAATAACAACTGCCGACTTGTTCCTGGGCCATTTTTAAAAACACATAAACACTTTTTATTTTAAGTGAGAATAATTATATAAATTTAACACCACATTTTTTTAAAATTTTAAGATGAATATTAATTCTTTTTCATTATCATCTTTATCATATTACTCAGAAAAAAGTTATTGTTGTAGGCTTATAATACATCAAATTAGTATATAAGTATTCATTTTTAATAGTTTAGAATATTTTTGAAACGATTTCACATTGATTTCAGTAGATATGGCAGTTTGAAAATTGTTCTGTAGATTTAAACACTTGTGGATACGTTCAATGAAATTAAAGAATATATTTAATTGTATTAATCGTATTTAGATTGCGATTTTGAACATTGAAATATAGCGGTTAATGCAAAATAGTGTTCCAGTCTGGACCGTGTACGACTGCAATAAGACTTTATCCTATTTCTCTTTAATTAAATATCTATATATTCTACATATATTGTTTTTACTTTATGCCCCTGAACACATAACCTGAGGGATACTAATGTGAGAGGATCTATTAGGGTGGAATGAAAACTGTGTTTATGACATTTACTCACTAAGACTTAACACAACTAATTTATTGTAGCAAACATATGATTGATAGAATGAATTATAGTACACACCAATAAATATGTCTGTACTCATTGGTAATGGTGAATCTGCTGTTATATGTGTATTATTTTTATATATTTTAATTCTAAATACAAAAATAAATGAACGAATACATATTTATTTGTAGTTAAACACAAAGCCACACAATGGGTTATCTGTTCTGTGCCCACCACAAGTATCGAAACCCGTTTTCTTGCGTTATAAGTCTGCAGACTTACCTCTGTGCTACTTTTGGGGTGGGGGTGGCAAAAATACATATACAAACAATCAACAGATAAATAGTAAGTATAATCTTTCACCTTTTTTACACCAATTAACTTAAATACATACACAAATAATCAACAGATAAATAGTAAGTCTAATCTTTCACCTTTTTTACACCAATTAACTTAAATACATACACAAATAATCAACAGATAAATAGTAAGTCTAATCTTTCACCTT